TATTAGAGAGAGGGTGAGACATGGATCTTTCGTCCTCTGATTTACTCCCCAAATGGCTACAGGAGCCAGGTCTGGGCCATACAGAAGCCATAAGCCAGGAGTTTTTACCGTGTGTGTCCCACATGGTGCAGGGATCCAGGCACTTGAAATATCCTCTGCTGCGTTCCCAGGCACATTAGCAGGGAGCTGGATCGGAAGTGGACCAGCTGGAGTAGGAACTGGTGCCCATGTGGAATGCGAGTGCCACAGATGGTGGGTATATGTGTGACCTATGTCACAGTACCAGCCCTGACTCAATATTTTTTAAAATCCCTAATACTTCTTGGGTTAAATATTTTACATACTGTAAGTGGGATGTCATTTTGACTTTCCATAAGTGTAAGGTTGAAAAATATCAAGAAAAAGTATTGGGGGGGGTGGTGGAAATACTGTTGCTTAAGAGAACTCTCAGGGCCTGGCACGATGGCCTAGTGGCTAAAGTCCTCACCTTGAATGCACTGGGATCCCATATGGGTGCCAGTTCTAATCCCGGCGGTCCCACTTCCCATCCAGCTCACTGCTTGTGGCCTGGGAAAGCAGTCAAAGATGGCCCAATGCCTTGGGACCCTGCACCTGTTTGGGAGACCTGGAAGAGGCTCTGGGCTCCTGGCTTTGGATTGGATCAGCACTGGCCATTGTGGTCACTTGGGGAGTGAATCACTGGACAGAAGATCTTCCTCTCAGTCTCTCCTTCTCTCTATATATCTGATTTTTCAATAAATAAATAAATCTTTAAAAAGAGAGAGAGAGAGAGAGAGAGCTCTCAGCCTACACCTGCTTGTTTCTTATTAAGTTGGAGGCAGGTAAGGGTTACAAGGGGTCAAAGGCATGGTGGACCTAACTGTGTTCTCCCTGAAAGAGAACAGGATGGAGGAGATGCTTGTACTTACCAACATTTTGCTGGCCGTGTACAGTGCCCCTAACATCAGCACAGATAACCCAGGCCCTGCCTTACCAAGCCCGGGTGGAACATGGGGTCTGGAGGTATGGGGTCCACCTAACAGGCCATGGTGTTTGGATCATTTTCCTTGATGCTCTCATCTACAAAATGGGATGGAAATCCTCCTGGCTTGGTGGCTCTGGCACCTTGGGAAGCTCATGGGTGCCAGCTCCGTCCTCTGCAGCTGCACTGTGTACTCCACTGGCTGGAAGCTGAGGGCTTACAGCGCCCTGGGCTCAGCCAGGCTGCCTCCCCCAACTTGGCCTAACCTCCTTCCCAAGGTCAGAACAGACTGTGTTCCATTAAGGCAACCCCAAGGGCAGAGGCCACAGCAGGGGACACTTGCTAATTGAAAGCTTCCTCTTCAACTTCAAGGCACAACTTCCAGTCAGCCTGATTTGCAAGCTTTCCCAGCCCCCTCACTCTGACTTTGCTTAGCACCTTCACTCTCAGACTACTGGGATCTCCACTGTCAGGCCCCTGGGCCTTTGATCACCTGTCCCTTGGCTTGGAAAGACCTTTCTCATCTAAAGAACAATCGGCCAGCCTTCTGTGGCCAGATTTCTCCTGGTGGGACCCTTCTGCCTCAGAGGGTATGGGGGTGGTGTTTCTGGGGCACAGGAGCCCAGAGCATGGGAACCTGTGTACCTGGTGGGATCTGGAAGCATCATAGCAACCTCCAGGTTGCTGCCTGCCTGGTGGTGTGGGCCCTGGATCACAGAACCAAGATTTTGCAATTCCTGGATTCACAGGTTTCCTGAGCACGCAGAGAGGGGGCGTGAGCTGGTTGAGGTCACACCAACCAGCTTCCTCCAGGCTCTGGTTGCTGCCATGATGGTAGAGATGGAGGATTCTGGTGCTCCCTAGGGTTGGGAGGGCGGTCTGCTGCCCTGTGCCCTCTGTGCAGCTGGTATATTTCCTGGGTCCTGACTGAGGCTCTTCTTCCCAACTCAGAATGGAGCTGCTCAGGTTCTTACCTGTGGAGCAGAAGCTGAGGCCCAGACAGAGGCAGAACAGGACCGGGCTGTCCCCTAGTGCCCAGAGTTTGCAGTGCCCAGATTTTGTGATTCCCAGAAAATCATTAGGAGTCAGAAGTCGATGTAAACAGGAGTCGGAAGTCGAGGTAAAAGGGCGGTTTATTCAAACTAGGCTCCCAGCTGCAGCAGAAGGGGCAGAGAAGCGAGCAAGGTTCAACAGCACAGGCTTTTTATACATTTCAGGCCAATTCCGTATTATTATACTGTCAGTTTATTTGTTACCTTTTAAAAAGAGCAAGTTGGCAGGCTTCTGTTGGTGGGTTTGAAGCAAGCAACTTTCAAATAGTACAAACTGGTGGGCTCTAGGGCAGTAAGCGACTTACCTAACAAGCACACCAGGGGTCTCCTCCCTGAGGACCGCTCTGCCTCAGTGACCTGCCAGGTGTCACATACAGACTGTCAGGCCTGGAGCTCACACAGCCCCCAGCCCAGCAAGCAAGGCAGAAAACACCTAGGTTCTTCACTGGCCCTCTCGGTGGGATGTGGGTGGCAGCTGGCATCCGGGTGTCAGGAGCAGGGAGGGAGCCTGAGGTCTAGCCTCATGGGAGGAAGCGGGCCTGCCTGCAACCGACAGGGTGCTGTGTTGTGGAAAGCTGATCCAGCCCCAGAGGCCCTGACCGGCTTGGCAGGACTTGCTCCTGCACGCACCCTCATTGATGCACTAGGCACCTCTGCCCTCCACTCAGACCCTGGGGTTCCAGAGGGGAGCTGCACAGGGAACCTGCCCTGCAGGGGCGTGGGCTGGGCCAGTGAGGACTGGAGAGTACAGACCGGGCACTGTGTGATGGCCAAGGCAGTGGTACCTTGTAGGAGGATGTTTGTGCAAAGGCCCTGGAGTATGCAGCTTTAGGGAAACTGCCAGGCACTTATAGCCACAGGACCCTGGGCCCAGAGTGGAGGAAGCCAGCTGAGGTTGGCAGGACGGTAGGGAGCTCCATGTCCTGGACACCTCCCAGGGTTTACGCTCAGCCTAAACTTAATAGAGAGGGCCACCGATGGACTGTGCCGGGCCCTGTACTTGCTAGCACATACAAGAATCTGGTTTAAGAACACTTCAGACAAAGTTTCTTTGGAGATCTCCCCAATAGAAATGCCGGACTCAGAACCCTAACCAAGAAAAGAGAGAAGCAGAACAGGTCAACCAGCCATCTCAGCTATGTGTTGGCAGCGAAATACAGGGCAAACAGAGACTCTGTGATGGACTATGTCAATCAGTGGATTCTTCAAAGACCTCATAGTGTTTGGAGTGGCAAAATTGGCAGTGATTCATAACTACTGAAATATCAAAACCACTTGAGCAAGAACCTCAGAGCATGCCCTACATCCGGGACCTGAGGAGGGTGGGAAATTGGGTGGGCCTTCTCCCTTAATATCCCCCTTTAAACATGAAGGAAACAATATGGAAAAAATAATAGTCTTACCCACTTTCCTGTAGCCCTTGAACCTTTTTACCCTAATTAACTATGTAAAGATTGTCAAAATTAAAAAAAAAAAAAATAGAGAGGGCCACACCCAAAACCCCAGCCCACAGAAAGGGGACTCGGTGCTTCTAGAGCAGGCTTGGCTTGCTGTTTCCTGGCCTGTCTGGGGTGCCAGCCTCATGAGCCAGAAGGTGTAGCGGGCTGTGCCTGGGCCAGGGCTGGCCAGTGGCCAGGTGAGGCTTGAGGGATGGCTGGACTGTGTTAGACCTTCCAGCCTCCCTCCCAGCCCCCACACCTCCCCCTTGGATCAGACCCCCCAGGCCATGTTGATCCATGGCAGCAACCAGAGCCTTCCATCTCCTCTAGTCTGGCTGTGTGGTCTCAGCCAGCTTGCTCCCCCTCTCTGGGCCCCGGGGGCTCCGAAATCCTGGAATTGCCAACACTGGCTCCTGCTCTCAGCTTCTCTGATCTAATTCTCACAGCTTAAATTGCTTCCTGAGCTGACCCAGCCAGGACCCAGGCTGCTAATGACTTTTCAGTAAATGTGTACCAGGAACTGGCTCTGCAGCCTTCACCACTTTCTTAGGCCTCCCAGGCTGGGGGTGGGGCGCAGGACTGTTGGCCTCCCTGAGCAGAGGGGCAGCCAGAGAGGTCAAGTGGTCAGCCTGGGGTCATATAGTGGGACACTGGGACTGGGACAGATGATCAGGCCCTGGTGGGTATGGGGGTGGGAGATACAGCGACAGCAGGGGCAGTAGGGACCCAGCCGTGTGGCTGCCCCACCCTGCTACCTGTCCAGATCCAGAGAGGAGGCTCGGCTGAGTGACTGGCCTGGGTCACACAGTGGATAAGAATATAGCTGGGAGTGGCACCTGCATCAGACTTACTCTCAGCTCGCTCTGGAAGTCAGTTTGCTAGGCTCCACTTTTCCTCAGATCCGTACCTGGATGGAACTAGAGTGCCATCCTGGGCAGACCCCTGGGGAGCAGATCTGGGGGTGCTGAACTCCACAGCGGCTCAGGTGGGTGGAATCTGAGGGACTGGGGCGTGGCCAGGGTGTGGTTTGCTCACCAGAGCCATTCCCCGTCTGGGTTGCCTGGTGTGTATGGGCACAGAGTTCAGGGAGCCTGGCTGGGATCCTGTGGATCCCCAGGGAGGAAAGGGAGGCCCAGGAGCTGGGAGCTGCTCCCTTGAACCTGAGGTGTTGGTTGCAGAGGTGTGTGAAGGATGGTAGGGGCCATAAGCTGTGCCCATGCTGGGCCGCCAGGTGGTGCTTGGCCTGGCGCTGCTTTCCTGCCGCCTGGCGCCAGCTGGGAGCAGCAGGAATCGGTCTTTCATCTGATTCAGCCAGGGCTGTCACAGGGGAGCAGGTTGCACAAGGCAGAGAGGCAGATGAGGGGGCTCAGAACCAGGTGATGGGCCGCTCCCTTCCCCACTCTGCCCCAGGGGCAGCTGTGTGACTGAGACACACCATGCCTGCTGGGTGGCAGGGTGGGAGCACACGGGGCTGGTTGTGCCGGGGACCACAGTATGTGATGTCCCCTCCTGCCTCCCTTCCCACAGGTGTCCCTGGGGCCCGGCCCGAGGCAGCAGCCACCATGTTCTCTTGCGTGAAGGCCTACGAGGAGCAGGACTACGCGGCCCTGAAGCGGAGCTGCCAGCGCAAGAAGGTGCTCTTTGAGGACCCCCACTTTCCTGCCACGGATGACTCACTCTACTACAAGGCCACCCCAGGGCCTGCCGTCCGGTGGAAGAGGCCCAAGGTCAGTGCTGGGTTTGGGACTTGGAGGGCGGAGGAGAGACGGGGACACCCAAGGACCATGGGGAAGGACCTCCTCCTCCACGTCCCTGCCACAATCTCTCCTGCCCCGGTTGCTGGCTAAATTGGGCAAGGAGCACCGTGGCCCACACCACCCAGCCAGGCCCACATGCCCGCCACTTTCCCTTGGGTCATTTCTGGGATCAGAATGCGCTGATATGGGTGTGACTTTTTTTTTCTGAGTAAGAAATAGAGTGAAGTTCAAGTGTGTGGGAGCTACTTCCTGATTATTACTGTAATGATTTTGGAGTAGTCACTGGCTGTGTGAATAAGGAGCATTTACGATGCTGATTGGTCAATAATAATTGTAGTAAAAAATAATAATGCCTGCCCTCAAAAGGTTGTTGTGAGGATTAAAAGAGAGGAAGTGCCGAGGAGCTTGGCCTGAGGCCCAGAACCCATCCAAAAGCCATTAGGAGGAATATTGGTGAGGCTGAGCGAGGCGGCCCTGGCCTCGGGCATTGGCCTGGAGTGTGTTGCCTTGCCAGATGAGTTTCTCTTCTCTCTTCCTCGGTAAGTCTGAGAGGCAGACAGAAGCAGAGAGAAATTCCATCAGCTGGTTCACTCCCCAGATCCCATACCTGCTGGCTGGGGCTGGGCTTTAACCGACCTAAAGCCAGCAACTCAATTAAGGTCTTCTATGTGGCTGGCAGGGACTGGGTTTTTTTTTTTTTTAAGATTTATTCATTTTTATTGCAAAGTCAGATATACAGAGAGGAGGAGAGACAGAGAAAGATCTTCCGTCTGATGATTCACTCCCCAAGTGACCACAATGGCCGGTACTGCGCCGATCTGATCCAGGAGCTCAGACCTCTTCCAGGTCTCCCACGGGGGTGCAGGGCCCCAAGGCTTTGGGCCGTCCTGGTCTGCTTTCCCAGGCCACAAGCAGGGAGCTGGATGGGAAGTGGAGCTGCCGGGATTAGAACCAACGACCATATGGGATCCCAGTGTGTGCAAGGCAAGGACCTTAGCTGCTAGGCCAACACACCGGGCCTGGTTGGTTTGTTTTTAACAATTTCTTATTTTTTTTTTTAAAGATTTATTTTATTTTTATTACAAAGTCAGATATACATAGAGGAGGAGAGACAGAGAGAAAGATCTTCCGTCTGATGATTCACTCTCCAAGTGACCACAACAGCCGGTTCTGTGCCGATCCGAAGCTGGGAACCAGGAACCTCTTCCAGGTCTCCCATGCGGGTGCAAGGTCCCAAAGCTTTGGGCCATCCTCGACTGCTTTCCCAGGCCACAAGCAGGGAGCTGGATGGGAAGTGGAGCTGCCGGGATTAGGACTGGCGTCCATATGGGATCCCGGTGAGTTCAAGGCAAGGACTTTAGCTGCTAAGCCACAGCGCCGGGCCCTTAACAATTTATTTTTATATCAAAAAATGACAGAGAAGGGAGACAGACACACACACACACACACACAGAAGAAAGAATTTTTGCTAGTTCATCCCCAAACAGCTTCAACAGCCAGAGTAGGGCCAGGTTAAAGTCAGAAGCCTGGAACTTCATCTCAGTGTCCCACATGGGTGCAGGGGTCCAAGTACTGGGGCCATCTTGCACTGCCTTCCCAGGCTGTTAGCCGGACCGGAAGTAGAGCAGCCAGGACACGAACCAGCACTCCGTCAGGGAATGTTGATGTTGCAGGTGGTAGCTGAAGCTGTTATCCCACAGTGCTGCCCCTTAGGAACCTAATTACTTAAGCTATCCCTCCTGCCTGCCAGCGTCTGCACTGGCAGGAAGCTTAGAGTCAGTGAAGACCCCCAGGCCCAGGCCCCCCTGCGCTCTCAGCAGCAATGCAGCTGGGACCTGGGGCACTCAGCTCCTGTCTGAGGGTAGTGGGGACATTGAAAGACAGGCTGTTAGCCTGTGTGACAGCTTTGGCTTTGCATGGGCCAAAGCTCCCAGCCCCAGGCTTCCTGGAAAAGGCAGTGAGTAGGGACTCGGTAGGGATTCAGCAGGGAGATGCATGCCTGGGATCACTCCATGGACATGCCTGGGATCACCCCACAGGTGACCAGTAGAGACTGGTCCTAGCTGCTTGTACTGACTCCAGGACAGGGGCCTGGATGCCTGTGACCTCAGCCAGCTGAGCCGCAGCCATAGAATCTTTGACCCTAGTGTCACATGTCCGGATCCCCCAGGGAACCTCCAGCCCGACTCCCACGCCTTCCTCCCCCTCCTTTGTCAAGTGGGTGGGGAAGGCAGCCAGCCTCAAAGGGCCCTTTGTGAGGCTGTAGACCTTCAGCTCTAGGCCCCTAGCTAGAACTCAACCTAGCCCTAGCTGCCCTGTCCCACCCTCCTGCCATGCAGCTGTCACCTGGATGTTTCAGATCTGTGGCTCAGGAAGATGGCTAGTGAGGCGGGCCTATTGTTTGTTCCTCCCAGGACAGTAAACATCTTTTGGCTTCCCTCCCAGCCCTGGCAAGGAAGTAAGAGAAGAAAAGGGACAGTCAGCGAGGCCTGGGGGTTCCCAGGGCTTTGGACAGGAGCCACCTGCCTCCTCCCCCTGATCCAGGGGCCCCTTGTCATCCTGTAGGGCCTCACCCCCGTACCTGGACATTGGCCCAAGGAGCTCATGGGGGAACACTGGTTGGGGTCCTGGAGTGGCATCAGTCCTGAGCTGTCCCGAGGCAGTCTGGCGGCTGGCAGCTCTGCCCCAGGGCCTTGTCCTGGTGAAGGTTCTGCTCCTCACCAGGTGCTTGTTACTATGCAGCAGGTGATTGGCTCTGGGGCCTGGCAGCTAGGGGCACACTCAGCCCGTCTGAGCCTCTGTCCTACCTGGGAATGTGCCATGGGGTGAGGGAAGGCCTTGTGGAGGTGGGCTAGCCAGGGGAAGGAGTGTTGCAGGGGACGAGTGTTGCTACCAGTGCAGCAGGGCCCCACTTCCGTTATCTGAGAGTCTAGCAGGAAGGTATGGGGGTAAAGGTGGGCGTCCAGGACAGTGCGGGGCAGGGCCAGCGGACCTCTGCAGGTGGAGCACAGGTGGCTGGCTGCATGCTGCATTCCTGTTTCTACACAGGGGCCGGCACCGGTTTCCTTTTGTGCACAGAGGGTGTGGGTTAGCCTGTGGCCTGCCATCTGGCGGAGCTGGTCTGACGGGCTGGGAGGGTGGGGCCGGGAGAGGAGCTGACTGCAGTTGCAGAAGGCTGTGTCCTAGAGGCGTGTTGACCAGGAGGCTCACCTTCTGAGACCCATTCCTGTGGCCAGTGTGCAGACGGTGGCCCAGGGCAGTAGAATGACGCATGTTGGCCCTGAGCCCAACTCACTGGTCCTGTGCTTGGTAGCAGTGAAGGAGTGTACTTCTCCCGCCCCTTCCTTCAGCTTGCAAGGCAACACGCCCTGGGCTGTTGCTGGGGACAGGTGGAGGAAGGAGGAAGGCTGGTGACATAGAGGGCCTGGAGTGAGGCTGGCCGAGCTTGCGTCTTGGTCGCCTCTTTCTGCATAGCTTGGGCAGGTGACGCGACCTCTCTGTACCTGGATTGTCTCACCTGTGAGGAGGAGATGCTGGCGGCAGTTGTCTTTCAGGGTGATTTTACATGGTGCCCAGTTTGCCACAGGTGCCTGGTCCTCATGAGCCTTTAGAGATGTCCTTCAGGACCTCGGGACTCTGGGGAGGTCCCAGCTGGCACCAAGATGGAGCTGGTGAGCCCCAGCCTCTGTGTGGTGGGAGCCCCAGGCCATACCTCCTCAGCAGCCTGGCATCCCGGCTCCCGGCCCTGCCACAGTGAGTCCACAGTGGACTCTACTAACCTGATTCCCAGGCACGGTCCCTCTTCCCAGGGATAGAGAAGCACCCAGGGCTACAGCTCTGTGCTGGGCACAGGGCCTCACCATGATAGTGGGCTCTGGCCCTGGCTGGGCTGTTCAGTGAGGTATTCTGCTGCCTCGTCTGTCCGGCCACTGCCTTGCCTCTTGACCTTGAATGTCATCACTCCTCCTTCGTAGAGTGGGGCCATTGTGTCTGCATCCCAGGGCAATGGCAATGACTGAAAGGTGAGGGTTCTCTGAAGACAGCTTCCCCCATGTCTACAGAGCTGGGGCTGCCAAGCAGGGGCCTTCTCTTCCATGGCACGGGGTGTCTAGGGTTCTCCACATAGAGGCACGGAAGGCCCCCTGCCACCCCACCTGGCCTGCCTCCCTGGCGTCGCAGGCATATGCTTAGTCCCAGCTGCCGGGGCCCAGAGGCTGGGCTGGGTGTGGCCAGGCCTGGGAGACAAGATAGGCAGCAGACTTGGCCTTGGGACAAGATGTTTCCTGTGATGTCTCCATATCAACGTGCATACCCGTGCCCTGGGGAAGCCACCCTGCAGCCTGGCCCTGGCTCACTCTGCCATCAAAACTGGCAGGAGTGGTCACTTATGCCCTCCACTTGGGCACAGGGATCCCAAACATCTGAGTGGGTACGCAGGGCCCTTCTTCCCATTTCCACTGCTGCATGTCCCATGTCTGTGGTCTATGGAGGAATATTTGCTCAACCCTGAAGGGATAGCAGTCCTGCTGGGGCCATGGAAGCACAGGAGAGGTGGAGCCACAGGTCCGGAGTTACATAGCTTGCAGGTGGGGAGCAGCACTCTGCTGCCCTCTGCTGGCCTCTGCTGACTGCCTGAAATAGGACGTCGCTCTGTCTTGCACTTGAATTGGTCCAGGAGCACCTGCTGAGGTGGAGACAGGCAGAGGCCTGCCTCATCCTTTCCCAGCTGCGTGGCAAGGCGTGTGATGCAACCTCTCACCTGTAGAATTGTGTTACTGCCCCCTCCCGGGCCATAGGGAACCTTTGTAGTGCCTGGCACATGGAAGGCCATACCAAGGAGAGCTCCGTGCAGGGAGGATGCTGAGAGAAGTGGGCCTGTGTGGCCCTGCATGCCCAAGAAGAGCCCTGCTTGCCCAGGGAAAGGGGGAAAATTCTGTTCATCCATGGTTCTACAGAGCCTGGCTGTTGGTCCCACATCAGACAAGTAGAGGCTCAGGGGTCTGTGTTGGTCACCTAGGGCCAGGCTGGGAACCAAGCTGGGTGCTCCTGCAGGGATCTGCCAGCTGCTCAGCTTGGCTTGTGGTGGGATGCTAAGGACCATGAAGGTCACCAGTCCAGATGAAGTCATGGCTTCCAGCATCTGAAAGTGTAAACAGAGGCCCACTGGCTAGGCACTAGGCTAGGTACTTTTCTCCAGGGGGATTGGTCAGTGTGGATGGTGCATGACTCCAGCTGAGGAAGCCAGGCCCAGAGGGGCTGCTGGGCTTCCTCCTCCCCCCGACTGGAGCTGGGGTTTGGTTCCTGGGGGGTGTAAAGGAAGAGCCCCCCCCCCAGCCCCCCCCCCAGCACAAAGAGATGGGAAGCCCAGGCCCCAGCACTGTGGGTGGGATCAGGTCCAGAAAACGGTCAATTCCAGAGCCCGCCATGGCAGGCAGAGCCAAGGCTTTGGGAACTAGGAAGGGCTGGCCTGAGGCCTGTTGGTTGGCATGACTCATTGCCCTGCCCTGACTTCCAGACCATGTCCTGGGCTCGGTGCCTTGGGCCACACCAGTTGATCTCTGTAGAAAACCACAAGAAGGAGTTTGTGGCAGCAGGTCTTGCTGCAGGGGTTAAAGCTTCCTTCGGGGTGCCTGCATCCCTTATCTGAGTCCTCGGCACCAAGTCCTGGCTCCACTGCCAATTCCAGCTAACTGCTCATGCTCAGCCCTGAAGGCAGACGGAGATGGCCTGAGCACTTGGGTCCCTGCTACCCATGTGGGAGGCTCAGACTGAGTTCCCGGCTTCCAGCTCAGCCTAGGGCAGCCCGATCATTGTGAACACTTGGAGAGTGAACCAACAAATGGACAATATCTCTGTCTTTTTCTCTTCTTGGATTTCTTTGCCTGCTGTCAAGCGACTAAATGGAACAATGTTTTTAAATGACTTTCTGCTGCATTTGGGTGTTTACGTACTGCATGGCTTTGTCAATCCTTGTACTCCCTGTGGACAATGGCAGCCCCTCTTCCTGGGATGGCCTGAGACTAGGGGAGACTGCAGGGCAGGGAGTGCCACCCAGGGTCCCAACTCCCAGCTTCCAACTTCCTTCCCTTTATGGTTATCACCTGTCCTCCCGGTACCCCACCCTGCTTTTTCCTGACAGGCTCTGCTGGCTGGCCAGTGGGGAGGGCAGTCTGGCCCCAGATCCAGCATCCTGGCACCCTCCTGCAGTTCCCAGTCACTGGCAGTTCCTCAGCTGCAGAACGTTCTCTGGTTAGCACAGACTCTGCAGTTGGACCAGGGAAAAGTGGGTTTGGGGGAGCGGGTGGGTCACACTGAACACAAGCCTCCTTTCTACCGGGGGTGGCCGGTGTCCCTGACCTCATGGTCTCCCCTCACCACTGTAGGACATCTGTGAGGACCCTCGCCTCTTTGTGGATGGCATCAGCTCCCATGACCTGCACCAGGGCCAGGTGGGCAACTGCTGGTTCGTAGCGGCCTGCTCGTCTCTCGCCTCCCGCGAGTCCCTGTGGCAGAAGGTGAGTCAAGGAGTAGGGGAGGGGAATGCAGGCCAGTGCTGTACAGGTGAGCCTGTCTGAGCATGGCAGGTGTGCAGGAGATGGCTAGGGAAGGACCCCTGGGTCTCCAGTACCAGACAGGTGTCACCGTCTTCCCTTACCCATCAGCCGGACCCAGGTGTAGGTTCCAGGAGTCTGTGTGACCCCTTTTCCCCAACAAGTTGGTTCTATCATGTCCCCCCCACAGGTGAGTAGCCCCAGAGCCCCTTGGCAGGAGACATACCTGTGCAATAGGGATGTTGGCAGTGGGACCCAAGAGCCTCACAGGCTGGGGTTTGAGCCTCAGCTTCCCCCACTTGGTGGCTCTGTTGCTGGCTTCTACTTGCTCAGTCTGCAAAACTCAGGCCTCACAGGCAGGTGCAAGGGAACAATGGATTCCTGTCCATCAGGCACCTTGCACGGCATAAGGCCTAGTGCCCGAGGCTGCCCTGGTTGGTGCTCAGGTCCTAGCACCTATACGCCAGGGACTCTCTGCAAAGCAGGTGTGAGGTTCTGAAGGAGCTTCTCCTGGGTCTCTGAGGTGTCCCTCAGCCATCAGAGGGTGCTGTGCCCTTGGCCCAGGCTGCCTCTAGGTGGTGCCCTGTTCTCTCATCCTGTGCACAGCAGGTGGTACTGCCTCTCAAAGTCCCAGGGAGGAGAGAACATCCACAGAGTTAGGCCCCTGCTGTCCCTGTGCAGGTTGGGCAGCTGCCAGCTTTGGGTCCCAGGCACCTCAGCAGAGACCATGGCTGTGCCTTGGTCGCTGAGCTGGGGGTAAGGAGGATCCTTGGACACATCTGGGATCCTTTCACTTGAGGAGTGCAAGGGCCTGCAGCTGTCTCTGTTGGGGGCTGCCTCCACTCCCCAGCCTTTAGACTCCTCTTGCATGTGGGGCTTGGTCTGGTCCTGAGGGGGGAGGGATTCTATTGGGCCAGCCTGCACTACCCAGCCTAGCTTGTAATCACCTGTTTTCCTGCCTTCTTTCCCCTCGGGGTAAGCTCCCTGCAGGCCAGCCTGGCCCAGCTTGCTCTGTGTGCTGAACCCAGCAGGGCACCAGCATGAGAAGGTTAACCCATGCGGTCAGGGCCAGCAAGAGCAGCAACCCCATAGTGGGCCTGTTAGAGGCCTGCCCCTTGGAGCCCCAACGTGCTGTGGACCCTGCCCTGGCCTGGAGGGAGGCAGTGCAGGCCCAGGGGCAGCCAGAGGCTGATGCTGGGTGACCTTTAGCCAGACTGCTGGTTCCTCCTGCGCGTTGCTGGGGCCCCCAGCCTGGGCCTTCCCCCAGGCGCTGGGGCAGGGCTGGGTGCGGTTAGCTAATTACACTCTACCTCTGGGTGCTGTTGTGGTGAGGGGCCCTGGGGACTGGAGGGAGGCCCTGGGGTGCTCATTACGGAGCCTTTTGCCTCCCGCTGCCCCTGATGACCCACCCTGTTTGTTGTCACCCCTCCCTTCTTGGGCCTGTTGCTCTGCAGGGCCTCCCCTGCCTGGCCTGGTTTCTTCCTGGAGAGGGCGGGGATTGCTCAGCCTGCCCTGCAGCCCTGCTCCCTCACATGGACACACATGTCCCCTTCTCCAGGAAGGTAGAGAGAGGAAGAGAAAGGAAGTTGATCTTCCAGCTACAGTTCACTCCCCAAATGACTGCAACAGCCAGAACTAGGCTAGTCTGAAGTCAGGAACCTAGAGCCTCTTCTGGGTCTCCCACATGGGGGTGGAAGGTTGAGCCATGCTCTGCTGCTTTCCCAGGCCATAAATAGGGAGCTGGATTAGAAGCAGAGCAGCTGGGACTCCAACTAGTGCTCATATGGGATGGTGGTGCCGCAGGTGGCATCTTAGCCCACTGTGCTGCAACACTGCTGCCCCCTTTCTCTGTTATGTGACAGGGGTCTCCCCCTTCTCTGGGCTCCTTGGTGGGGGCCTTCTGTGCTCCCCGAGTCAGAGCAGTGGACTTATGCTGAGCCAGGATGTGAGTGGTTGGTTGAGCATCTGCCATGGGGCCTGGCCTGCCCTGGCTGGCCTGAGCCAGACTGAAGGGCCCTGGGGGCATGCTTGCCCTGGACACACCCAGGACAGGCTCCTGGGTGGAGGGGACTGTCCCTGTCCTTCCATGGCTTCTGGACTCACTGTGAGGCTGAAACACAAAACCGGCGCTCAGATCCGAGGCGAACCTGAACGTAGGCAAGAGTGGGAATAGTTCCCAGGTGAGATCCTTGGCCTGCCCCTCCAGCCCAAGAGCAGATGGTTTGGAGGGTCATGTGGTGCCACATCTCGCTGGGAGTGGGCCCCTCCACCTGGCAGAGGGGCCACATCGGCCCCAGGAGTGCCCCTGGGGCTGCAGGTGTTTTTATGGGCCACAGGCTCTGTCTTGCGAGATCCTGGCAGTCACTTCAACCACATCTAGCCATGCATGGTCTGTGTTTGTGGTCCACTAGAGCCTTCAGATCATTCTCTATTGCTCCACCTGGGCCTGTCTTCAGTTTGTTTGCTGTGTGTGTCTGCCTGGCGTTCCTACGTAGCCAGCCACTCTCACATGTCCTTGCACTGCCTTGCACCTTCACGGAATAGCTGAGCTCCTGACACCGCCTCAGGCTCTGGCAAGATGGCCGTTTTATGGATCTTCGTGGGCCTCCATCCCTAGGGGGTGGGGGCACAGGGTCTCTGCACAGGTGGAGCAAACTGAGGGGTCCAGTCTCGACAGAGCCCACTTGTGTGGCAGCCAGGGGGCAGAACTGAGGCAGGGCCAGCAGCCGAGGTCCTCTGGAAAGGTTGTAAGGAATGAGCGTTCCCAGGCTTGGTCAGAGACCTGTCCATCTGCAGGCTGAGTTTGCAGTTCCGCAGGTGCCTCTGAATGCTCAGGAAAGCCTGAGAGCCACAACCTCCTGGTGGACCGAGGCCTGGCAGAGGGCATGGGAGAGGGTAGTGATAAGCTCAGGGACTGTGTGTGGGGGAGTGACTCCTGGGTGTGGTGTGGCCACCTCAGATCTCAAGTCAGGTGTATCCTCTGGACCCCATCCTGGGGGAAGGGTGTATGTGGCCTGTTTCTCTCTCCCATGCCCTCTGCCCCCACACACTGCCCAGAAGCAAGTTCTCACTTCTGCACAAACAAGCCAGCTCCCAGCCCATCGCGGTAGTCAGGGCTGTTGCCACAGCAGTTGCCAACAGCGGCCTGGTCCCTAAGGAACTGTGGCCCCGCCGCCTGCCTGCAGTGCCTGCTTTGCCACTGCTGGGGCGAGGAGAGCAGGGGCAGATCGGAGGACACCCGCTCTGCGCACGCTGCATTTGTGAGACCTGGAGGTGTGCTGGTCGGGCCAGTGGCAAAGAGGAGTGGGTGGAAGGGGAGGCGGGGCTTCTGGGGCAGGCTGTTCTCCAGGTGGCCCTGGGTGCCCCAGCCCCACTTGGCTGCTTGGTGTTGGCGAGTGAGGGAGCAACAGCAGCAGCCGCGCCTGGGCCATGGCGGAGGACGCGCCACAGCGGCCGCAGCTGGACATGCCGCTGGTCCTGGACAAGGACCTGACCAGGCAGATGCGTCTGCGCGTGGAGAGCCTGAAGCAACGCGGGGAGAAGCGCCAGGACGGCGAGAAGCTGCTGCGGCCTGCCGAGTCCGTGTACCGCCTGGACTTCGTCCAGCAGCACAAGCTGCAGTTCGAGCGCTGGAATGTGGAGCTGGACAAGCCTGGCAAGGTCACCATCACGGGCACCTCGCAGAACTGGACGCCCGACCTCACCAACCTCATGACGCGCCAGCTGCTCGACCCCGCCGCCATCTTCTGGCGCAAGGAGGACTCAGACGCCATGGATTGGAACGAGGCCGATGCCCTGGAGTTCGGCGAGCGCCTGTCGGACCTGGCGAAGATCCGTAAGGTCATGTACTTCCTCATCACGTTCGGCGAGGGGCTCGAGCCCGCCAACCTCAAGGCCTCCGTGGTCTTTAACCAGCTCTGACACCGGCTCCTCACTGCCACCCACCCCTCCTCCTGCCTGCCCGGCTGCCCTCACCCCTGCCGCTGTCTCCTTCCCCCTGGGGTATTTGGGGGTGATGCTCTTCCAGCAGTTGTGCTCATCAGCTGAGCTGAGTTCCCCATCCCCGATGCTCTCTCCTTCATGCAGCTCCCAGGAAGGAGAGTGTGAGGCTGTTAGCTTAGAAGCTGCTGCTATAGCCGGTGGAGGCCTGGGCGGCTTGTGTGGTCAGGGCAGTGGTGACGGCCCCTACTCGATCATGGAGAAGAATGAGAGAGAAAAAGTGGGGGAGATCCATCAGAAGATCTGGAACACCAGCCAGGACCAACGGGACAGGGAAGTGGCTCCGAGGACTCCAGCAAGCAGGGGGTCACCGCTCCCCCCATCCCACATCTGGAGGCCCAAGGACCCAGGAAGGCACTGCTCCTGTCACAGTCTGGTGTGACCCCATGCGGCCCTGGGGATCCTCAGCATGTGCCCAGAAGTGGTGGTGCTTGGTCAGTGGGTGTGGCTAGGCCAGTAGGCCCAGCACTGGTTGTGTGATGGAGTGGGGAGGGCAGCAGGATGGAGCTGTAGATTCAGGCGGACACGTGGGAAGTCATGTGCAGAACTCCTCGTCTTTGCATGCAGCAGCCACGTGGACAGGATCTGGGGGGCTGTGCCCACCGTGCAGGTTTGGCATCAGGGGTCTTCAGAGGGGCTTCTGGAACTGGAGACTTAGTTTCACCTGGTAGGTCAAGGTTCAGAACAAGGTTCATCACCCTCTGGCTGGGTGATGCTGGAGTAGGGCCCAAGACCTCAAATGTCTCCCTTGCTGAGCGAGGCTTTGGTCACTCACTGCTTGGCGCCACTCCGGGTTTCATCCGGCTATCACCTGTGTTGATATTTCTGGAATTTATTGACTGGTGTGGGGGAGAGGAGGTGAAAGGTGTTGGGTGGAGCAGGATGTGTGCAGTAACAGTGACTGGCTGTGGGCAACAGCAGTGCTGGACTCAGACTGCACAGCCCCAAACAGCTGGGGAAACTGAGGCTTGGGGATCGGCAGATTCTGCTCTGGGCCCTGTTTCTGTTCATGTTACATAGGCCCAGAGTGGGAGGCCTGACCTGCTCCCTGGTGGGTGGCAGCCAAGGGCACCCCAGCAAGAACCCCAGTGCCCCGTCCCAAGGGCAGCCCTGTGTGGGTCCCTGACCAGCCAGACACTTGCTGATGCGGCAACTGAGGATCTTGGGAACAGGCACCAAGCACTCTCCCCGTCGGTAGAGCTGCCAGGGGGGCAAGCCCCACCCTCCGCCATCAGAGGGGACACACATTGATTGGGGTCAGGGTCCTATGGGGGAGCTTGCCAAGGTTCCCATTGCTGCCTCTCCTCTGCCACCCTCTGGCTACTGATTGATCCCTCTTTATAGCCACCGGGAGCCTGTTGTCCTGGGCTGTCCGTCCCCTGCCCTGTGCCACCTCCTCTAGTGCCACTGCCATGTCTGCTGCTGCTTGTCCCCAATAAAGCCTGTGTCCTTGTCCTAGAGCTTTGCAGTCTTTAACCGTGAGTGTCCTGTCCTTCAGCAGCAACACCCCCCCGTGCCCAGGGCTCCTCCCTGCTCCCCTCCCTGCTCCCACCATCCCTGCCAACTGGGCTTGGAGGGATACCTGCTACCCTGCGTGGGTGGGGGGAGCAGCCCAAGGCTTCTGCCTCCCCCAGGACAGGTGGGGGAAGGTCTCTGAGCCAGGCTGGCCAGAGTCTCCCTCCCTTGCAGGGTGGGGCTGGCAGAGACAGACGAACAGGGGAGTGACCTAGGGGTAGGGTGGGTGCTTTGGCTGGAGTTGAGTGTCTACTGTTTGCTGTGTGTCCTCACACAGCCCCTGGTCCTTTTCCAGTCTCAGAATTGCCAGAGGTTCTGTCATCTTCTGGATCCCCGCAGCCCTGCCTTATGGGATTATTAAACTCTTGATCCCGTGAAGGACTTGGGGCACTGATGTGGCCACACCTGCCCCACCAGGCCACTTATCATGTCTGTGAGTTGGGACAAAGAGAACTGGGACACAGAGGCCTGGGCTAAGTCTGGGTGTGGATAGACCAGATTTTGGGCTTATGGACCTTGGACCCATTACACTGACTGTCTGGGGTGGGCTGGTGCCAGGGTCCGGGCTCAGGTTTCTAGCTGGGCTTCCTTCCTCCCGTAGATGGAGCTCTGTGCTTATGGATTTGTCTGGGAAGGACCCCACTTCTGCCTGACTGCTGACAGGCTTCACAGGCCCTTGCCTGTTCCACAGCACACCCTTGCTGGGCAGCTCCGACCACTTCCTGTCCTCCCTGCCACAACCAGGGTATCCCAACTGCTCACTCACATAGCGCCCAAGGAGCTGTTCCCTCCCCCATCCTGTATCTCTCTCATCTGCTCAGCTCTCAGGAGTCTCTGACTCCCCTGACCTTGGCCTGCAGGTGCCTCTAGGGGTAGAAGAGACCAGGACGGAGGTGCCTACCTGGCCCTCACAACAGCTGAGGCTCAGGAAGGGTGCTCTGGGGCCACTTTGCAGGACACCTGCTGTGCCCTGAGTGGAGTAGTGAGGGTTCTGTCCCACCTGCCCTGGCATGGGTGAATGACTCTAAGTGGCCACTCGGAGGAGTGATGACCATCCTGTGTTCCTTTGTCTCCATTGCCCCAGGCAGGGTAAGGACCTGGTGTTACTCACTTCATTTACTCTGTAAGGAAGGCAATAGGAAAACCTATTTACTGAGGAGAGTCACAGAGATGTCACAAGGGTCAGATCGTGACACAGGGTGACACCGCAGGATGGCGTGGGGTGGAGTGGAGGGATGGCAGATGCCTGCCTGGGCTGCCCCTGAGGTCTGAGTCAGTCGTCCCTGGCCGAGGGACCCTGTGGCCTGCTCACTATAGCTGGGGCTGTATCTATCCCCTGGGGCTGGGGATTTTGCTCAAGCCTCTTCACCCTCGACCCAATCTCTGGGTGATGGATGCACTCCCTCCACCCCACCCTAGTGCTGCTGCTTCCATTCCCCAGGGAAGCAGGGGGTGGCTATCCGCCTTCCCAGGCCCTGCCTATCATGACATCTACTACAGGGATCAGAAGCTAGAAACCAAGGAATCTCATGTTCAGCTCAGGGATCCATAACGTTTTGAGGACCTAGAAGTGCCCGTACCCACCTCCCCCAAAGCTTGTGCAACAGGAAAGTCTACTGTATCCTTGGCCAGTGGCCCTGGCTGCATCCTCTTCTGGGTCCCAGGCAGACGTGCGCACCTGTATGCCAGGATCTCACACGTATACATACACACACACAGACACATGGTTCCAGCCCCCACCCCCTACCTGCCAGCTCCTGATGGCACCACAGCCAGCTGTGTCGCTTGTGAGGAGCCGGGCCAGGGTCTGCTGCAGAGGCTGGATCTGTTGCTGCCCCAGAAGAAGTTGACCCCAGCCATATGGTTCTAGGAGGGCATCCTCAGGGAAAAACCCAGGGCATTTGTGGGCACTGCCATGCAATGGGTGGCTGAAGAGCTCCCCTCCCCATCATCCTGCATCGTCCTCACTGCACTGCAGGGTCAGACCATGGAGGAGCCGCCCCACACCCCAGTTTCCCATCTACACAGAAAACACGTGTTGAAGTTTGTTTCTTCTTTTGGGGAAGCTTTTGTCCCACTTGCAAGGTCTCCAGGTGGTTGTGTGGATGCACACACATGTAAGTCACCCATGCACCCCAGGAGTGACTCCTGCTGCTTGCCCAGCTGTGCGGTTTAAGAGATACCCCCAGGCTGGCAGCTGTCCTTCTCCCAGTAGTCCTGGAGGTGGCATGGAGGGACAGGGATGCAAAGGTCGCTGCCACCCTCAACGGCTGGTCATTCCATGTGTTGCTCAGGGCCACACTATGACCAGCCCTGGGGCCTGGGAACAGGGCCTGGCCTGGCCCTGCATACCTCCCTCCAGCCAGTTGGGGCACCAGAGGGAGGAGCTGCCTGTGCTGGATGCCCAGCACTCACGGCAAAGCCTTGCAGGGAGCCACAGCTGCAGGGTGAGGCCATGAGGCTCAGCAGAGCGGACCCGCAGGGCGTCTGCTGCCAGGACACGGTGACAATGACCCGCAGGGTATCTGCTGCCAGGACACGGCGACAACGAACGGCAGCTGCACACATCACGAGAGCTGCAGTAAGCATGGCCTGGTGCCTCCTGGCGCCCAACTCTCCTACTCTGGTCTGAAAGCTGATGGCTCATTGCCCAGACTGATAACCTAACCATGTGCAGGCATTAGGCCTAGGCGTGAAGTTGTCTGCATCCCATATTGGACTGTCTGGGTTGGGTTCCTGCCAGTGCAGACACAGGGCAGTGGCAGTGCTAGCCCCATAAAAGGGTTCTGGCCACCCACAGGGAGTCCGGGCTGACTGGGCATCGGTGGAGGGAACCAGTACGTGGGAGTGTTCTCTGCCTTCTCTCTCTGCTTTTCTCTCTTTAATTTTCTCTCTGCCTCTCACAAATAAGTAAATAAATAACCACAATAGCAATATGCAATAAATATTTTCATTTTTTTTAAGATTTGTTTTATTGTTATTGGAAATTCAGATATACAGAGAGGAGGAGAGACAGAGAGGAAGATCTTCCATCTGCTGATTTCCCCCGCAAGCGGCATCAATGGCTAGAGCTGAGCCAATCCAGAGCCAGGAGCCAGGAACTTCTCCCGGGTCTCCCACGCAGGTACCAAAACCCAAGACTTTGAGCTGTCCTCGACTGCCTTCCCAGGCCACAAGCAGGGAGCTGGATGGGCCACCAGGATTAGAACTGGCACCCATATGGGATCCCGGGTGTTCAAGGCGAGGACTTTAGCTGCTAGGCTACCACGCTGGGCCCACAATAAATATTTTTAAAGGAATTCTCTGATATTGTCAAGTCCCCATTTTTTTTAAATTTGTGCCATAGATATGTATTTTTAAAGAATTTTTTGGGCCCAGTATGATGGCCTAGTGGCTAAATCCTTGCCTTGCGTGTGTCAGGATCCCATATGAGCACCCGTTCATGTTCCAGCTGCTCCACTTTCCATCCAGCTCCCTGCCTGTGGCCTGGGAAAGCAGTAGGGAATGGCCCAAAGCCTTGGGAGCCTGCACCTGCATGGGAGACCTGGAAGAAGCTCCTGGCTTTGGATCAACTCAGCTCTGGCCATTGTGGCACCTTGCAGAATAAACCAGTGGATGGAAAATGTTTCTCTCTGTCTCTCCTTCTCTCTGTAAATCTGCCTTTCAATAAAACTAAATAAGTCTTTAAAAAAGAAAGGTATAAAAAGTAAAAAATTAAGAATGAGTCCTTCAAAAAGAAAGATTTATTTTTATTCTGAAGGGTAGAGTTACTTACGGAGAGAAGGGAGAGAGAGAGCTCTTCTATACACTGATTCACCCTCTCGATGGCCTCAGCGGCCGCAGCTGAGCCAGTCCGAAGCCAGGCGCTTCTTCAGGGTCGCTTCTGTGGATGCAGGGGCCTGAGAACTTGAGCCATCTTCCGCTGCTTTCCCAAGCCACAAGCAGGGAGCTGGGTTGGAAGTGGAATAGCCAGGACTTGAACCAAAACCACAGGCACTGTAGGCAGAAGCTTAGCCTGTTAGGTCACAGCTCTATTCCCGACACGCGTGTTACATAGTCTGTTTAATTGAATGGAATCTAAGCAAAAGCCTAGATTTTCAGTTGGTTAATTACTCTTCCACTTTTTTTCCAAGTTGTTTTACAGGAAATGTCATGCATGAGCATGTATCAGAAAAGTTCATGGAACAGGAAATTAAGGAGTTTATTCCATTTTAAAGTTTTATTTATTTGAGAGAGAGAGTTACAGAGAGAGGAGAGAGATTGGGAAAGATCTCTGTCCGTCTCTCCCTCCAACTTTTACTCTGCCTTTCAAATAAATGATTCTTTTAAAACCATGCTTTTTGAACGTGTAGTATGGTGGCTGAGATGCCACTCGGGCTGACTGCATCCCATATCGGAGTCTGATCCAGCGTCCTGCAGATGGACACGCTGGGAGGCGGCAGGACGGCTCCTTGCCACCCAGGTGGGACACCCCTGGGAGTTTCAACACCTGGCATACACACGCTGGGTGTGATCCAGTGATGGAAGAATCTCTGTCCCCCGCTGCCATCATGCAAGTCAAATGGAAATTAATAGCAGAAAAAAACAGCAGCTTTTAAAAATTCCGTGATTATATAGAGATTTTTCAAATACTTCATGGAGGTTTGTGTTATGAAAGACTGCACAGATGTTAAGATTATTTTTTAGACTAAAAGAAACTCATCTCTTTCTTTTTCAAAGATTTACTTATTTTTGTCTGAAAGGCAGATTTGCAGAAAGAAGGAAAAATGGAAAGATCTTTCATCCACTGGTTCACTTCCCAAGTGGCCACAACAGCTGGAGCTGAGCCTATCTAAAGCCAGGAGCTTCTTCTGGGTCTCCTACATGGGTGAAGTGTCCCAAGGCTTTGGGCCATCTTTCCCTGTTTTCCCAACCACAAGCAGAGAGCTAGATGGGAAGTCGAAAAGCTGGGATATGAACCAGCGCCCATATGGGATCTCAGCACTTGCAAGGCAAGGATTTAGCCATTGATCCATCGTGTTGGTCCCAAAGCTCATCTCTTCATTCCATTTTCCATATATTCTCTGAAGCCTGCTTGTCCAACTGGTGGTCTTCTGGTGATGGTAGGAGCTATTGGTCCCCGTCTCGGGCTCCGTTTCCACTTAGTGACCACTGAACAGTGGCAGGCTCTTGCCACTGTCTCTTCTTCTGGTGTCTGCTGCAGCTCTGTGCCCGATGGGGCCATCCCTTCACCAAGTTAGGCTGCCCTGGGGTGAGCCCAGGCTGGTCTCTCTCTTCATGAAAAGCCTGGGCTAGTCCTCTATTCCTCCTCCTGTAGCTGTTATTGTCAGCATCTGGGATCCCTGTGTGTGTGTGTGTGTGTGTGTGTGTGTGTGTGTGTGTGTGTGTGTGTGATGCCCTGTTGTCCCTGTCCATCCCCTGGGATTGGCCCACCCATGACCATCAGAGGTCTTAGTTACTGGATTCTGTGCTGTGGCCCAAGGGACTTGGGTGACTTCTTTTGTCCCCAGTGTGGCTGGATGTGTGTGGAGCAGCGTTCAACGTGCATTCCTGGGATCCCTGCCCCTGCCCAGACCCTCTTCTCTCACCTGCACGGTCCCAGCTGACAGTAGAGGGACTGAGAGACCATCTCGTGCTAGGTCCAGGGGCAGGGAATCCGAGAGGGCAGTGAAGGTCCCGTGGGAATCCCTTGCCCTGGATCTCCAGGTCCTGGGGCATCATTAGCACTGCCTGAGCCACAGAGGGTTCGGGAACAAGCCCTGAGTCAGGCTAATTATCCTCACGGGTGACAGCAGTGCCTGCCAGCAGCCCCCAGGGGTCCTCCTGCTGCTGCCCGTGCAGTCCAGTACACCCACGGCAGGGCCAGAGGGGAGGCAGGCATGGCAGGAGCCATAGGCTGGGCCTGAGTTCTTGGTTTAGTCTCCCCATTTTGCTGTGCCTTTGGGTAGCTCCCTGCTTCTCTAGGGACATCAGTCTTCCCATCTGTGAAAAGGGCGTGGTTACTCACTGCTCAAGAGAACCTTGACAAAGCCAGAGCACGGAGGGCAGAGGCTGGATGGGAGTTTTTATTAGAAAGGACCTGGGGTTGACTGACAAGGGGAACAAGGAACTGGGGAGGGGATGAGGACTGAGCTTCTGCCAGCTTGGAAGCCCCAGGTGGGTGCTGTCTGCCTCACTTGTCCATCTTCAGGGGCAGCCTTCCTCTGGCAACTCCCTGTTGCCCTCAGAGCCTGCAGGTAGGGGTGGCAGCGAGCAGCCTGGCACTCTAGGAGGCGATGTTCATGACAGGGCCACCTCTCGCTGCACTTGGCATATTCCTGTGCTTCCTGCCAGGGAATGCCTCTGTTTGCCACCTCCTGCTGCTGGTGCAGACAGGCAGGGAAGCTCCTGTGGCCTTGGAGTGGGAATGTGGTGACTTGGCACAGACCCTGGCCCATCTTCCCATACTAGGCCTCCTAGGTCAGCTGCTGCTATCCTGCCTGGGAGCTGCTCACCCTGATTTGGCAGAGGGAGGGGTTCTCACTTCCCTGCATCACTTCCCGTGCCCACATTGCCTGTGTCCTCAGCTGCCAGGAGGTGCCCCCTGCCAGGGTGGGGCCTGCTGCTCCCTGCTCCTGCCAATACAGCTAGCCTGGCAGCCTTCTGTGGGCATCTTTGGTGCCTGTCCTGGGGCTGTGCAGAGCTCTTTCTCCTGTGTGAGTAGACTCCTGGGCCAGCCAAAGAACAATGTGTTTCCCAGCTGTGTGATCCTGGAGACTCCCCAAGCCTGGGTTTTCTCATCTGCAAGTGGGGATGGATAGCAGTTTGTCTCCGCTTGGGGCTCTTTGCTTACCAGTTAGCACAGGGCTTGACCTTCCTAAGATAGTATATGGATGGCAGGGAGTTGATTCCTCACCAAGCCTGTGGGTCATTCACTCAGCCAACATCTTCACCAGGCCCACTCTCTGGGCCAGGGGCTGGGTGTGCTGTAGTTGCTTCAGAGAACTGACATTCCAGTGAGAAGGTGAGATGCCATGCCATGACTCAATTATAGAGGTCAGTGTCTCAGAGAAGAAGTACCTGGAACTGTGGAACCTATTGAGGCAGGGAGGGCTTCCTGGAGGAGGCGGATGGAAGTCAGCTGGGCTAGAGGAGGAGGAGAGGAAGAGCAGATGTGGTGCTCCTGAGCAGAGGAAGAGCTGAGCACGAGCTGGGGTGTCGGCGCCCTGGGGTGTGCAGTGTGGCTGCAAAGTGGCGCAGAGTGCAGTATGGGTGTGGGCCCTATTTTCTGGGGGACTAGTCACTGCTGTGTGGGGCGTGGGCAGGTGTAGCTGCGAGGGCTGGTATGGTGTCCCTGGGTGATGCCAGCGTGGTGGCTGCAGGAGCTAAATCCCAGAGGAACGCTGGGGGTTGGGGTGGGCCTGACCCAGTAGAGAAAGGGAGAGGAGGCTTCTGACTTGGGTGGGCCTGGGTGGCTGTTGGGGACAGGGTGCAAGGAGAGGCATGGGGAGGGGGGGGGCAGATGCTGGGAGGAGCTTCAAAGAGGTTCCGCCTCGGTACACAGCTACCCTGGACTGGCTGGGCCAGCATGGCTGCTCCTCCCTGCTGAGACTAGCATGCCTTCCCTCCCTACCCCATCCTGGTCTCTCTCTCCATCCAGGTCATCCCAGACTGGAAGGAGCAGGAATGGGATCCTGAGAAGCCTGAGGCCTACGCGGGAATCTTCCACTTCCACTTCTGGCGCTTCGGCGAGTGGGTGGATGTGGTCATCGATGACCGGCTGCCCACCGTCAACAACCAGCTCATCTACTGCCACTCCAACTCCCGCCGTGAGTTCTGGTGTGCGCTGGTGGAGAAGGCCTATGCCAAGTAAGTGCTGCTGGCGGGGTTGGGGGCGGAAATGGAGGGGTGCTCCAGGCATAGAGTGGGCAGGAGCTGGGGTGAGTCCCAGGGCACAGCCAGCTGGTCCTGCGCTGGGGGGGCGGGTGCTCAGGCCCTGTGACGGGGAGGAATAGCCTCTCCTCTCACAGCAGGTGGCCAGGTGGCCAGGGCAGGCACACTCAGCACCCACACTCAGCTCTTTTGCAAAGGCCCATGCGTGTTGCAAGTGTGAGGCCCCTTGTGAACGTGGCAGGAAGGCCAGCGCCGGCCTTCCCTGCTCTCTGCCCTGTCTCCATCTCTAACCACCACCCCGCCTCTTCTGGCCCAGCATCAGCCTTCCCCATTTAACTTTCTGAGGAACTGCTGCTCTTCCAATGACTGAATCATCTTTTGCTTGCTGGTTTTATTACATTAATTTAAGGTTTTTTTTTTAAATCATGTATTTTCATGCAAAAATTGGAGCTCTTCCTTACTTTGGTTTACTCCTCAAACGCTCGTACCAGCCAGGGCTGGGCCTGGCCCAAACCAGGAGCCCAGGGCTTCATCTGGGACTCCCTCATGTGTGGCAGAGACCCACATGCAGGAGCCATCACCTACTACTGGCTGCCAGGGTTCACATTCATAGGATGGTGAACTTGAAGGGGTGGTGGATTGAACCGGGCCTTCCCATGTGTGATGCAGACATCCCAAGCAGTGTTTTAACTGCTGCATCAAAATACCCACCCCCTCACCGAGAATGCATACCCGTGTGTAGCAAATCCAGCAAGGGAACCTATGATGAAGGCCCAAGTCTCCTGTGCCCCTGGATGTCCTTCCAGCTGCTGCATCCCCATCCCCTGTTGGATGTCCCTGCATCCGCTGCTTCTGGCTCCTCTTTGCTCATACATAACATCCCAGGGGCACCACCATCAGTGCTAGGTCCTTCCCAGCTGCATCTGCACTCACCCTCCTCCGCCGGCCCTGGGTGCTCAGCACTCCCACCCCACCCCCACCGGGAGCTCTGGATGCAAGGGGTGTGTTTGTAGCTGACTTTGGGGAACCTCTGGCTTTTGTGGCACAGATCATCCGTGTTGCCCGCTTGCACTTAGCATGGCAATGTCCTCAGCATCTGTTATGTTGCAGGTAGCAGTATATTCACCATGTACTTTAAAAAGCTTTGTAGGAAGTGGAATGCAACAGTGTTGCTTTTTCCAGCATAACAGGAAACTCCAGCTGGGTCCCTGTGGCAGGAATTCTTTCAGGGCTTTTCTGTCTGTTCCAGGGGTGTGGGTGCAGTGTTAGCATTCAAAGCCAGTTTCCTGTCTGATTAGGTTGTTTCTCTTCATCCATCATGATAAATCACGTTTCCTGTCCAAACCATACAGTGAGCTTCTCCTCCTTGGAAAAGAGTCGCTACATTTTTGCACAAAAAAAAATTTTTAAAGACTTATTTGAAAGGCAAAGTTACCAAGGAAGAGGGAGCGACAACACAGAGCTTCCATTCCCACATGGCCGCAATGGCCATAGCTAGGCCAGTCTGAAGCCAGGAGCCAGGAGCTGATTTTGAGTCTCCCAAGTGGGTACAAGGACCCCAGCACTTGGGCCAGTCTCCTCTGCTTTCCCAGGTACATTAGCAGGGAGCTGGAGCAGGAGTGGAGCAGCTAGGACATGAACTGGCTCCCAGAGGGAATGTTGGCCCTGCAGGTGACAGCTCCACCTGCTATACTGCATTGCTGGGACCCCTGCCCCTCCCTGGCTGACTTTTAAAAGACAGAGTTTGGTGCTGTGGGACAAAGACCTGCCTGGGACAACTCTGGCCTCTAGCCCTGTCCCTGCTATGGCCTCCTGTGTGACCTTTGTAGCTCACATGACCTCTCTGAATTTCAAAACACTCCCCCCTCTCGACCCCCCAAAAAACAACCCTCCCCTCACATGATGAGGGAGTTAGACTGGCCAAGGAGCTTGAGTGGTGGGGGAATTCTTTGCATGTTTTGTCCCAGGCTAGCAGGCTGCTACCAGGCACTGGATGGAGGCAACACGGCCGATGCGCTGGTGGACTTCACCGGCGGCGTCTCCGAGCCCATCGACCTGACGGAGGGTGACTTCGCCAATGACGAGGCCAAGAGGAACCAGCTGTTCGACCGCATGTTGAAGGTGCACTCCCGCGGCGGCCTCATCAGCACCTCCATCAAGGTGAGAGCCCGGCACAGGCTGCAAGGTGCTGGCTGGCCGCTGAGTGCTCCACAGCCTCCGCTTCCCGTGCCGGCGCCAGCACCCCCGTCTGGCCTTCTTGGACATCCTGGTGTCAGGCTGGCTCTCTCAGTTGCTTATGGTGTGGGAGCCCAGGCCGCTGCCCCAGGAAGATCACCTAGTTTCATCCATGGCTTGTGATATGTCTGAGAAAGTGGGGGCGCAGCAGAGGGGAGATTTGAATGCAGGTTTAGCTAGCCTTAAACAGGTTCCAGAAAGGTCACAAGCCCCAGTCGACAGCATCCACTGATGTCCACACTCTGAATTCTCTCCTGTGGTTGGTTTCCAGCTGCCAGTGATTTTAGAAACCCATTCTCCAAAGTCCTAACTGTTTGCTGATCGGCTGAGCCAGTCCTAGCTGGCCCCCACATACCCCAGGCTGACCGCTTGGGATCTAGAAGGCTCTAAGTGGGTGGTTGGGGTGTGTGTGTGTGTGTGTGTGTGTGTGTGTGTGTGTGTGTGTGTTGCAGTTCCCATCCCATTTCAGCTCCAGTGCTGGAGTCTCATCCAGATTCGACCCCTCTGAGTAACCTGTCCTCCCACAGGCCGTTACGGCAGCAGACATGGAAGCACGCCTGGCATGCGGCCTGGTGAAGGGCCATGCATACGCTGTCACTGATGTGCGCAAGGTGCGCCTGGGCCATGGCCTGCTGGCCTTCTTCAAGTCGGAGAAGTTGGACATGATTCGCCTACGCAACCCTTGGGGCGAGCGCGAGTGGAACGGGCCATGGAGCGACACGTGAGGCCTGGGGCAGGGATGGGAAAGGGTTCAAGGATCAGGCTCCTCTGGAGCCATGTGGGGTGACCTATTCCGTGTGGGCAGAGGCCGAATGAGCTGGTCTGCATGGATGCAGAGGCCAGACTGGCAGGTGGGTAGGGAGGAGGACAGGGAGCGGGTGCATAGGGGTGAGAATGTGGCCCGTGGGTCTAGGAGCTGTGCTTGACCACCTGCAGCTGTTCTTGAATGGTCCCTGCCAAAGCATGGTGACAGTACACCATGGGACCTCTGGGAGAGTGGGCAGCAGGGCCCAGCAGGGACCTCAACTGTGGCTCCCCAAGGGAGGCGCGACACTGAGCTGTGGGCACATTGCACCAGCAGGGAGGGTGGTTCAGTGCGACCCCTCCTCTCACACTGCTCCCCTCTCCGCACTGTGTCATCTCAGCTCCGAGGAGTGGCAGAAAGTGAGCAAGAGCGAGCGGGAGAAGATGGGCGTGACCGTGCAGGATGACGGCGAGTTCTGGTCAGTGCCAAGTTCCTGCAGTCCGCTGGCAGGGAACATGGCAGGTGGGAGGCTATGGCTGGGGACCCAGGCCTCCCGAGGAAAGTGTGTCGGATAGGAAGGGGCCCTCCCGTGCCCACGGTCCTATGGCCTGCCCCATGCCCAGGATGACCTTCGAGGACGTGTGCCGCTACTTCACGGACATCATCAAGTGCCGTGTACTCAACACGTCCTACCTGAGCATCCATAAGACGTGGGAGGAGGCCCGGCTGCGAGGCGCCTGGACCCGGCATGAGGACCCGAGGCTGAACCGCAGTGGGGGCTGCATCAACCACAAGGACACCTTCTTTCAGAACCCACAGGTGGGCCCTGGCACCCATCCCTGCCTGTGCCGGCAGCCCCCTCCCCCCGGAACACCTGTGTGACCCCAGGCACATGCCATGCTCCCCCTGGGGCTGCAGCATCGGCTCTCTGGGCAGCCGGGATGAGAGGCCCCTGGGTCCTGCTCAGGCTTGTATAGCCCAGCCTCACCCTCCAACCTGCCAGGGCAAATGTGAGAAAACTGCAGCCCTGAGCAACTATCGGCGAGGCTCACAGGGACATTCAGGACCAGGCTGGAACCTCCCACCACCCCTGTAGCACAGTTCTGCCCCTTCCTGGGGAATTGGGGCCCAGCCTGACTCCTCCACAGGGAGCTCAGTGAGGCAGCTTGATGAGACTTCATTGGGCACCAGCTATGTACATCTGTTTCCTGCAGGGGAGGGATCAGGGCCCATAGTGGTGATGGGGATAGGAGTTCTGGGCCCCACGTGAGCTAGGCGCGGCTGGAGTCCAGCCTCCTACGGACCTCATGGCAGTGTCTTTTCTCTCCTTGGCCACATGTGCAGTACCTTTTTGATGTCAAGAAGCCAGAAGACGAGGTACTCATCTGTATCCAGCAGCGACCCAAGCGGTCCACCCGCCGGGAGGGCAAGGGCGAGAACCTGGCCATCGGCTTCGACATCTACAAGGTGAGGCCTGCTGCTGGGACACCCTTGCTGCCATTGGCTGAGGTCACCAGGCGGGGGACATCCCTAGAGGGATGGCCTCACAGGGGGAGTACTTGGCCTGAGCTCTTGCTGCCTTTGGCTGCGTGGTGGATGAAGAAAGGAAAGGCTGGTAGGCAGCGGGCTGGCCTTGGAGGCCCTGGGTAGCAGTTGGGCCCCAGCTATGTGCCTTGGGCAACTGCTGGGTCTTGCTAGGGCAGAGCCTGGCTGGGTACAGCAGGATTCACCCCTGGCCTGGAAATTGATGCCTTCCCCGAATTAGGATGCCCAGTGTGTGGTGCCCAGCCTTCTGCTGGCACAGGTGCAGTCCACCCCTCCCCCCGCCTGTCTGCCCGCAGGTGGAAGAGAACCGCGAGTACCGCATGCACAGCCTACAGCAAAAGGCCGCCAGCTCCATCTACATCAACTCGCGCAGTGTCTTCTTGCGCACTGAGCAGCCTGAGGGCCGCTACGTCATCATCCCCACCACGTTTGAGCCGGGCCACACCGGCGAGTTCTTGCTCCGTGTCTTCACAGATGTGCCCGCCAACTGCAGGTGTGCAGGGGCTGGCTGGGGCTGGTGGGGTGCAGAGGCTGGGGCTGTGGGATGCAGGGGCTGGCAGGGCTGGGGGCTGTGCCCACTTTGGGCTGACTGGGAGCCTGTGGCCCAAGGTGCTTGGTTTTTGCATGCCCAGGCTTTCTGGCTGCCTGGGATTGCCACCAGGGCCATCTCCTTCCTCTCTAACACCCTGCTCCTCTGGGCCAGCTCTCATGATCACTATTGGGAAGGGCCCCTCCTCAGGCCCCACACTTCCTCCCTTGCAAAAGGGTTTTTGCTCATCTCCTTGGAGCCCCCTCAGTACCCCATTTCATAGAGAACAGGGAGGCAAGGGTAGAGAGCTGTGCAAGGCCAAGTGGGTGATGAGTCAGGTGTAGCAGCTCAGCTTGACTCCAGAGTTGGGGTCCAGTTCCCTGAGGGCTCCCTGTGGACCCAGTGGATGCCTGCAAACCATTTCCATTCCAAAAGGGCCCAGCCCTGTTTGTCCCACACTGCCCTCCCTCTTAGGGTACAGCCCAAACTCAGTGTCCCCAGAAGGGGAGGTGGGCGCTGCCTAAGGCCGGGCTCCGGGAAGCAGTCTGTGGAGAGACAGATGGCCATGGGTCCCACAAGCCCAGCATCTGCCACATCCTGCTGCGTGGGCCAGGCCCCTCCCCCAGGGGTGGGCCCAGAGCTGCCTCCTCTGAGCAGTCACCAGTCTTTCAGGGTTTTATGAGGATCGCCCCAGCAGAGGGCTTGGCACACAGCAGGTGCACAGGCGCTCAGGTCCCAGCTTTTGCCTTGGAAGGAGGCTGGAGCCCCCTTTGGGTAGGACAGCCTCTGGGGGTCACAGATAGGGACTGCCCCATGGCTTTGTCCAGGACTAAAGGAACTAATGGAGCGCCGCCCCCCTCTGCCCACTGTGTTTTGTTTTGTTTGTTTTTAAAGAGAGTTGGCTAGAGGTTTTATTTGCTTGTTTTTATATGAAAGGCAGAGAGAACATACCCAGACATCTCTTCCATCTGCTGGCCTACTCCCCAGATGTCTGCGAGAGACAGCTGGGGCTGGGCCAGGCCAGAGCCGGGAACCAGGATTTCCATCTGGCTCTCCCACATGGGAGGTGTCTGGGACCCCAGTATTCGAGCTGTCACCTGTTGCCTCTCGCGTTAGCCGGAAGCTGGAAGCGAGGGAAGAACCAGGACCCTGATGTGGGATGCAGGCATTGCAGGCAGGATCACCACGGCACACAATGCCCGCCCCGCCTTCCCCACTTCCTGCACCCCCTCTTTTCCTTCTGTCCTCCTGGCTGCTTCCCTTATCCCCTCTTTCCCCGCCCTATATTAGGGAGCTGCGCCTGGATGAGCCTCCCCGCACCTGCTGGAGCTCCCTGTGTGGCTACCCTCAGCAGGTGACCCAGGTGCATGTCCTAGGGGCTACGGACCTCAAGGACTCCCCAACAGGTGAGCTCCCTCAGGGCCAAGCCCCCTGCCCCTCCTGCCCACTACCCCACCAGTGGAGACCCTACCCATCCCCAGGGCTGTCTTGCTGTCACTCAGTAAATCAGTGGCAAACCTTTCCCAGTGCCCCCCTGGGGTTCCGCCATGCCTGGGTGATGCCTGGCAGGAAGAAGGGAATGGGTCTGCCTCGTGCTATCAGGAGCTTCTCGTGTGTGGGAGCGAGGCTCAAGGAAGCCTCCCTAGAGGAGGTGGCCTTGTGTTGGGCCACAGAGCTACTAAAGTGGAAAGCCTGGGAAAAGGGGTAGGGGAGCAGCAAGGGTGAAGGCCTGGAGGCAGGCGTGGGCCTGTCAGCCTGCCCATCTGGAAGCTCTGCAATCGGCCAGGCTCCAGTCTCAACCTTTGCTCAGATTGGAGCACAGGCCGGGCTGTGGCCCTCCCACCGCAGCAGCCTCAGTCCCTGGTCACTCCCTCTCCCCAGGGGCTAACTCCTACGTGATCATCAAGTGCGAGGGGAACGCCGTGCGCTCGGCCGTGCAGAAGAGCACCTCGGCTCCGCAGTATGACGTGAAGGGCATCTTCTATCGCAAGAAACCAGGCCAGCCTGTCACTGTCCAGGTGAGCCTGCCCCCGCAAGGGCCCTGCCTGCAGCTGGAGCCTTTGCCTGGGTCCCAGATGTGCTAGCCCCAGCCCTCGCTGTGGCCTCAGTGCCCCTCTGCAGGTGGACCACTGGACTAGCTGGTGTGACTCTGGTTGGGCACAGAGGGCATCCCCCCACAGCCTCACCCCATGCCTCAGTGGCTGTCCTTCGGTTCCCACCCAGACGGAAGTGGGGACAGCGTTCCTGTGGCACGGGGCAGGGGCTGTTGCCTAGGAGTCTCGGGCAGGGGTGACCTTGGACACGGGCATCTTTTACTTTCATCCAGGGTGGCCAGGGTGCAAGGATGCTGAGCTCATTATTAGCAGGAAGCTGTGTGTCCCCTGGGCCCTGGGCCAGCATTTCCCTGGGTGAGAAGCCAGCTGTAAACAAACAGCCAGCACCCCTGGGAACCGCTGCAGATTTTCCACTTCCTTTTAGCCCTGAGTCCCACTGGATCAAAGCACAGACCCACAGATATCAGGGTTGCAGGGGGCGCTGGCACACTGAAGCTAGGGAAGGGGCTGACATTGGGGCACAGCGGGTTCAGCCACCACTTATGTCTCTACCTTCCATATTGGAATTCGGTTTGAGTCCTGGGTGCTCTGTTCCCTGCTGATGTGGCTGTGAAGGTGACAGAGGAGGACCCAAGTGCTTGGGCCCCTGCCACCTATGTGGCAGAGCCAAGCGGCATTCCTGACTCCTGGCTTTAGCTCGGCCCATCCATCAGGGACTTGTAGGCATCTAGGAAGATCTTGCTCTGTCCCTCTCTCCTTTGAATAAATACATTAAAAAATAATAATGATGAAGATGGAAAACTACAGGGTGGGCTGTGGTATAGCAGGTTAAGTTGCTGCAGGAACTGGACAAGGAAGCACAGTGGCCAGGGACTCAAACCCTTGCTCCAATTTAGGATGCCAGCATCATAGGCTGTGGCTTAACCATGCTCCCTGGCCCCTGGAAGGGATCTAACTGTGGAACCAGAGGCCTCGTGGGGTTCATGGTGAAGCAGACCATCCGGGGGTCTTGCCCGTCAGCCGGGCTCAGGGCCTCACTGATTGTGCCAGCACACCCACCCTCCTGTGATCCCTGTCTTGGCGGAGGCCCCTTCGACACAGTCTCCTGTCTCTTTCCTAGATCTGGAACCACCGAGTCCTGAAGGATGAGTTCCTGGGCCAGGTGCAGCTGAAGACCGAACCGGACAATCTGCAGGCCCTACACACCCTGCACCTCCGAGACCGCAGCAGCCGGCAGCCCAGCGACCTGCCGGGCACCGTGGCTGTGCGTATCCTCAGCAGCACCTCCCTCACTGCTGTCTGATGCCAGCCCACCTGCCTAGCCCCAGCAGCTCTCCCCATCACCTGCACGTCTTTTTTCCAGCCTGGGACCAGCCTGGGGGCCAGACACAAGGAGCCCACTGACTTGCTGTGTGCCCCTGGGACATCTGTGGTCCTCTCTGAGCCTCCTGTCCTCAGGGCCCCTAGCACTCTCCTTTCAGGTGGGAATATTCTTGCCTGAGGTTCCAAGCAGCCCTTCACAGCCCACCTGTTAGCACTACTCAGGCACACCTGTTAGCCTGGCTTCCCCAGGGCCCTGCTGTCTGCCGAGGAATGCTGGGACGACCTCACTTGTTTACACACCAGCTGCCGCATCCTCAAGGCACGAACTTGCCCCACCGGCCCCTTGGCCGCTGCCGGGGTCCTGCTCGGACTAGACTTGAGGAAATGTGCAGGTGGCCCTTGTTACTTCTCTGCTCCCATCCTGCTGCCCATCCACCCACTTGCTTATGCTGGGATTTGCCTGATGGAGGCAGGCTGAGGCCGGGCAGATGGATCACGCCATCATCACCGTCAACAAGATGGGCTGAAAGCTTGGAGCTCCCGTTTCCTTCTGTGACTCCATTCTGGCTCATTCTGGTTTTGCTCGGGCCCCACCCGGCCAGGGCTGGAGGAGCCGTAGCGGAGGGTGAGGAAGAAGAGGTTTTGTGACAGGCATTCCGGGAGCCCTGGCTGAGCTGCAGCACCAGAGCGATCTGAGCTGGCCTGCTTTGGACCTCTGAGTCAAATATAGCTGCCCTACACCCAACCCCTCAACATGGAAAAGCCTTTGAGAAACCTGAACGTCCTGCTCCAGCTCCCAGGGCATCTGGCTAGAGGGGCCCCGCACCAGCCACCTAACTCTGTGGCTGCCTGGCCCCCGGTTCCCTCAGCCACAGCAAAGGCCGGAGATAGAAACGTGGGGGACAAGAGGAGTCTCTCTCGGAAGCCCGGTGTCCCTGTCCCCAAGGAGCCTGGTCCTGGACCTAGGACACAGCAGCAAGCCCCCTTCTGCACACTGAGGCCCATGCTTGCTGCTGCCCAAATGTTCCACTCGTGTCCCAGACACACACACACACACACACACACACTCCCACCCTCTTCCCAGTGTCTGAAATGAGGGGCAGGGAGACAAGCACTGGGCCTGGGCCCCTGTGGCCAGTACCTGCTACTTGCTTGGCCACGCCCCCTGGCATATGTCAGCAGGGGGACGGGGGGATGCCAGATCTGGGTGAGTTTCCACCTGGGGGCTGGCCACTGCCTCCCACCCACTCTTGCTTCCTGCCCCTCCAGGTGGGCCAGGCTGGCTCCTGGCTGTGCAGAGGTCTGTCCCAAGGAGGCCCCAGGGACTGGGTAGGCAAGGATAGAGAGTGGGACAGGGGAGCAGTTGTTTTATGTCCTTGGCGTCCCCATGTGTGGTGGCCATCGCCTGTGGCCTCTGCCACATAGGCCTCAAGCTCCACCACAGGGTGAAGGGACAGGGGAGGAGGCCTGATCGAATCTCACAATAAATGTTAACCACAGTTCCACAAAGGCTTCCTGTGTCTGTCTGTCTGCCGGCCTAGAGGAGGGGACAGGGCAGCTGGCCTCTGGTCACTCCGGTAGGCCCTGTGCCAAACCCTGTGCTTCAGACCAGTGGTCCCAGCCCTGGGCCGCCTGCCCGCTGGTGGGGAGAATCAGTCACACCTGCTCTCCGGGACACACGTGGGGCTCATCCAGGGCCTGTTAGCCTGTCAGAGTCTGGAAGGCTTTCGTCTTAAAGGACCAGAAAAGCAGATGGGCTTGGAGACTGCAAGAGGGTAGGGGGCAACCAGAACAGAGTCGTCAGGGCAAGGCAACCAGGGGTTGTGGTGTGGAGGAATGGGGTCAGACTGAGGGAAAAAAATGATGCTACAGAGAGAAGGGAGAAAGATCTTTCATCCACTGGTCCACTCCCCAAATGAGTCAAGAGCTAGAAGCTTCCTCTGGGTCTCCCAAGTGGATGTAGGGGTGCAAGAACGTGAACCATCCTCTGCTGTCTTCCCAGGTGCGTTAACGGGGAGCTGGATCCGAAGTGGAGCAGCTGGGTCTTGAATAGACACCTATATTGGATACAGGCTTAGCAGGCAAAGGCTTAACTTGTTATGCCCCCAAGTGACCCCAAGTTTCTTTGTTTTAAAAAATTGTGTTTGTTGGAAAGGCAGATTTATAGAGAGGAGAGAGATCTTCATCCACTGATTCACTCCGCTAGTGGCCGCAACAGCCAGAGCTGAGCTGAGCTGAAGCCAGGAGCCAGGAGCTTCTTCCAGGTTTCTCACAGGGGTTTAGGGTCCTAAAGCTTTGGGCCGTGCTCCACTGCTTTCCCAGGTCAGAAGCAAGAAGCTGGATGGGAAGTAGAGCAGCCATGACACAGTCTGCACTGGTCCCTTAAATTTGGTTTCCTTCTGGAGAGGGAAGGGTGAGTACGGTGTGAGTCAAAGTGAACCAGGACTAACTGCTATGACATGGTCATTGTATGTCCCCTTAAGTTTCATGTTCTAGAAGCTCTGTCTCAGTGCAGCAGGATTAAGGGGGTGATAGCCCTTTAAGAGGTGGGATCTGGTGGGCTCGTTGAGGTCACGGGATAAAAGCCTGGGCGAGCAGGCCACTTGGCCTCCAGTGCACAGCATACAGGGCGTCTGCTACTTCTGCCAGCTCTCCGTGTGACACCCGTTACTGTGCCACAACACAGCAGGAGGCTCTCGCTAGATGTGGCTGCCCGAGCTTGTATTTTTCAGCCTCCAGAATTGTAAGCAAAAGATATCTTTTTTTTTTTTTTCCTATAAAGTACTCAACCCTCAGGTGTTTCACTACAGAGCACACAGAGACGCATGTCGTGTCATTTGCTTAGCAAAGCGCCTGGTTGCAGTGGGTGGTGGGGGAAGGGTCGTTGGGGACGTGCCATGCCATCCCTGTCCTTAGCAGTTCCCACCTGTGTCTGCTTTAGCCGTCAGCAAAGGGCCCACGTGCTCCCACCTGGGGCTCATCTCCCCACCTGGGCAGGCTGGGCCTATTGGTCTGGTCGGATCTGGGAGGCCGGAGAGCGGCCGGCCGTTTGAGGAGTGAAGGTGTTGAGAATTGGAAGCAGGAGAGAGCAAGCCCTTTCAAAAATTTAGCAGGGCTGGCACTGCACCACCGTGGGTTAAGCTGTTGCTTGCGATGCCAGCATCCTATATGAGCACTGGTTCAAGTCCTGGCCGCTCCACTTCCAATCCAGCTCCTTGCTAATGCAGTAGGGGGAGCAGAAGATGGACTTGGTCTCCTGCCCTCATGTGGGAAATGCCTTTGAAATTTGAGGCTCCTGTTCAGTCCGCCCAGCCCTGCCTATTGCAACCATTTGGGTAAATAGCAGATGGAGTCACCAGCACCCTCTTTTTGTGTCTACTTTTCAAAAATATATTTATTTTTATATTTAAGTTAGAATGCAACGCTTGCATTTCAAAGAGAGAAAGAAATCACATCCTCTTGTTTGTGCCCCAAATGGCTGCAACAGCTGTGGCTGGGCTAGAGCAGGGAATGTTCCCACGTGGCTGGCAGAAACACAAGAACTTGAACCACCGCCAGCTGCTTCTCAAGGTGTGTATTAGGAAGCAGTAAAGAAGAGCAGAGCGGAACTTGCCCCCAGAAACTCTTGTCAGAGCTGCAGCATAGTTCCCTCCCACCCCCCAGGAACCCCTGAAGTGGCTGCAGCATTCAGGGATGTTTGCCGGGTGGAGAGGGCAAAAAATGGGAGGCTCCGGCTTTCACAGGCTGTGGAGCCTGTGTCCAGCAGGCGGCGCTGCGGAGCCGTGCGTCCTCGTCCACGCTTCCTTTACCCCCTCACCACCCCTACGGGCGGGATTGCTGCAGGCACACCCTAGTTCCAGCGCTGAGGAATTCCAAAGTGCCCCTCCTGCTGTGGGGCCCAGCACTGACCCTGGAGAGGTGCCCCAAGGAGGCAGCTGCCAGGTGTGGCTACAGGCAAAGGGCCAATGGGAGCAAGCACCAGGACTGGGGGAGGATCCCCAGTTGCAGCCAATGCTGACAACATAGGTTTTGTGAGGCATTTGTCCCTGTCTCTTGCAGGATTCCTGGTGATTCTAGAATAATACAAGCTCTAGGGGACGTCTGTGTGTGTGTGATGGCAGGAACCTCTGGAAGTACGCCTGTGTGTGGCAATGGGGAAGCTGTGAGAACATGGTCAGCACCTCCTGCCACGTCCCCTCCTCTCCCTTCCTGGGACCTTTCCAGTCCTGGTCCACAGTGGCTGTGGGTGACAGGTAGGGGCTGGAACTGCAGCCAATCTGGGATCAAACCCAATTTTCCTGGTCAGATGCTAACACTTCAGTTAGCGGTATTGCCAATGGCAGAGCCACTTAAGGCCAGGAAGGGGTGACCCAGACCCTGCCCCAGCGCTGGCCAGCAGCACAGCCAAAGAGAGAGACCAGCCCAGGGAAGTGTCTGGACATCAGCCCGCCTCCTGGCTGATGTCACCACACCGGACCTTGGAGGCCCCCTGTGGCTCCGCCTCCTGGGAGAAGACTGTGGAGTGGGGAGGGCAGGGTGACAGTGCCGGCTGGACAGTTGTCCTAGCTAGGAGAGGACACAGAGACAGCCAGGGTGAGCCACGGAGCAGGAGACACGGGAAGGGGGCGGGCAGCAGCTCTGCAGCCACGGCCGGACCTGTGACCTCAGCTTCCAGAGGCTTCTGTGCAGGGGGAGCTGCAGCCAAGCTGGTGGGTTATGGGGGACCCAGTGGGGATGGGGAGGATGGGCCCCTGGATGCCCTGGGCAGGGGAGAGTTTGCTGGCCTGAGAGAAGCCATGGACGTGGCCCACGTCTGGGACCTCTGTCCCCACAGCTCCCTGCTGTTGGGCTTGGGCTTTCCTGTCACCTGTGGGTGCTCAGCCACGGCAGCCCTTGAGTGACATCGTCCTGAGCCTCGGACGGCGGAGAGAGGAGCCAGTGGCATGGTGCCCTTGGAGCTGTCTCTGAGCTGAGGCTGGATATCCTGAGGCCAGGCAGCAGTCATGTGAGGGCAGACAGAGCAGTCTTTGTTCCTTGGCCTCTTCTGTACTCTCTCCTGAGATAAGTGACTTCCTTCCTCTGTGCCTCCAACTTGCCATCTGTGAAATGGGAGCATGAAGCCTCAACAGCAGGGTTGTGGTAAACATAAGGTGAAATCGGGCATGGGGTTAATGATACAGGTAAAGCATCGGTGTTCTTTGTTGCTGGCTTGAACCGCACGCGCCTGCACAGAGTCTAGCTTTAGTTTCAGGAGTGCAATGTGTATCTCTCAAGTTTTCCTGCTGTTTGGTCCTCGTTGCCTCCCAGCTCCAAAGCCCCAAATCTGCCACAAAGTCCTGGTCTGTCACCAGCTCCTGCAGCTCACGTTGGCATGTGGGATGGCAGCACAGCAACCGGGCATCCACAGTTCCCCAGGGCAGCTGCCTCCTGGCCTGGCTTTATCAAGTCTGCTTCCCCACCAGACAGCCAGGTCCCTGGAGGCGCTGCATGCCTGCCTGTCCACTGTATCCCAGAGTTTGGGGGCAGGGGTCAGGGCTCGGGTATCCAGCAGTGTCATGGGAAGAGGATCAAATGCCCCAGTGCCTCTGAATGAGCCTTATGAAAAATTGATGCTCACACTGGGGGCAGATCTGGGGCCAGAGTGGCCCTGTGCCAGGCCTTATGGCTTGGGTATCCCTTCCATAGCCACACTCAGCAGCACTGGGCCTTCCTGGGTTGTGATTAGGCCTGGCTCCAGGCAGAACTTCAGGCGCAAGTCAGCATATGCACAGGTCCGAGGGTGTTCACAGAGCTGGGGGATTGCAGTAGTGAGCTACTCCCCCACCAATGCTTAGATGGTGCAAATGCAGGGATGAGCAGAGAACAGGCTGACATGGGTGTCACCATCCCCCTGACACACTGCAGGAATTGGGGGTGGGCTGGCAGTGGGGATAAGGGCTTGGTGGTGCAGCAGCCAAGGAGTGCCCAGATCAGGATGTGCTCAGCCCCTGCTTTGCTGTGTAGTCTGGGCTGCCCATTGCCGACTCTCCTGGGCAGCCCTGAGGTAGAAGGCTGGACACACATTCCTAGACCCACCTTTGCTCTGCCATGCTGTGTGATGCTGGGCAAGCCTTGGTCCCTCTCTGGGCCCCTCTGCCTGCATGTTCAGCCTGGGGCTGGACACACGACTCTAGCAACCCTTGGGGAATTTCTAAATGATAGGGGCTGGGAGAAGTGCTCAGCCACTCTGGGCAGCCCAACTGGTGACCATGGCCGAGGCTCAGGTCATGCGGGTTGGGGTTGGGCTGCGGCCAGAGGGAGAAGAGCCAGGGAGGGTTCCCTCCAGGGAGGAGGGGCTTGGGGCCTGGGGAGGAGCCCGGCTGACCCCAGGCAGGAGGCTGCCTGCTAGCACTGTCTGCTGCCAGGCCTGATATGGTCTCTCTCTGCAGAGGTGCACCTGTCTGGGCAGTAACAACAGGAGCGGCTGACGCGGGACCATGGTGATCCTTCAGCAGGTGGGTGTCCC